TTAAACTCGTGTTAAAAAGGGGAAAACCAGTTTCAATTTTTTTTTTGGGGGGGGGAGGGGGGTCTAGAGGATTTCAAATAAGAATATGGTTGCCTTGTGAGAGCTGATAAAGCATGCTTAGCGACAGATCAAAATATTATTAAATGTGTAAAATCCTCCTGCCCACTACTCCGTGTTTTTGTGCGGCTAGTTCTTATTTTTAAAAATAAAAAAACGTTGATCACATAGCTCTTATTCTATTATATCTGCATTCATTTATTTCTTATTTCGATTAAACGACACAATGTTTGTTATGTGCCTATGTCGTCTTATCTATCTTTTTAAAATGAAGAGGTAAAAGAGAGACAGATCTTCATAATGCCAAAAAAAAAAACCTTCTAGCTCACTGACGAAGAACAAAATACACACGCACTGGTTACGCCTGATGGATTACATTTTCACCTTTATTTAACTGTAAATAGAAAAAAGATCCAATCCACTATCAGGGCCCCACACGTTATCAACAGTATGATGATGGAGTGCTAAGTTATGAAGGAGAAGAAAAGCTAGACAGACTTGCCATCAAAATAGTCTCGTGTCACCATGAAATTAGCACTATTTAGTTAGACCAAGAAAGTTATATGCGAGCTTTGTTAGTGTTTTTGTCACAAACAAATTATGTGTATTTGACAATAAAGATATTGCATAACTACGGTTATATTTTTTTTGTGATAGTCCATATTTTTGTTGGATCCTTTACAACACCACAAATAGAAACCTACAAGTACACACACGGACTATAATACTATGAATTACTAGTAAAGATTGAAAGCAGTTTAAAAACGCACTGACGAGAAATATTCAGAATGTAAATAACTCCAGAAAAGTGAATGCTATTGTTTAAAGTCATTTCTATAAGATCATAATCCAAATTGTTATTTGTTAATTAGCTGTAATTAAATGGTGTGCATTTGTTAATTGTCATTTTTTTGTCGGGTGAGGGATTAATTATTACTGATAAATGAAATAAAAACACCTGATTAACTATCCATCATGTGTTAATTAGATGACAATTGTGCCGAACCGTCTGGAGAAATCTTTTGACAATACCCGAGCTTGTCATATTAAAAACTCAAAAAAAGGTGTAGGGCTTCTCTGTTCTGTACACACTTATATATAGAGAAATTAGGAACAAGTCTATATATTTTCAAATAATTCAGCATGGATTCGTATCAGCCACCATCTGTAAATCGTGCTATTTGTACCATTGGTTGCATTTGCTGTGCCAGACTTATCGCCCACAATGAGACCTGCATCTGCTGGAAACCTGTGCCATCAACAACAGTTTCAACACAGACAGATCCTGGTATCAGTTATGGGTACACTTCCAATTCATACTTTACCAGAGGAAATGCTGCCCATTCCATGCTACATGTAAGTATCTCAAGTGCTAGTTAGTATTCAATTGTAATTGCCATATTTATTTTAAAGGATGTATATGAGAGGTAAACGGACAGAAAGTCACAAATTTAATAGGACAAAAAGTCACAATTATTTGTTTGTAATTGTTTGAATAGATAAATAAATGTTCTCGAAATAATTTCTATTTATTGTATATATTCATTTTAGTTTCTGATATTGTTTATAAGCATTGATAAATTAAGATATATCAACTTTGAGGCATGTAGAGGATATATCTATTGACACCTTTAAGGTATTTCAAGACCAAGCCACTTTTCCAAATTGTATTTTTAAACACGATTTTATCATTATTGATCATTTTAGAATACATTTTGTTTAAAAACTTGCCCTATATATAATTGTTCAAGATAAATACAAAATTGGTTTTTAAATAAATGTTCTCTTATTCAAAGAAAAGATAATATAATAAAATGCTTCGCTGGGCGCAGCTTGATACGACCACAGAGGTCGAACCCTGAACAGTTGGGGCAAGTATGGACACAACATTCAAGCTTGATACAGCTCTGAATTTGGATTGTGATTAAATATTTGACACAGCATAGGTTTCTGACACAGAAAGAATGTGGTCTAAGAACTTCAATTTTTTTAATTTACCTATTATGGTCCAATGTCCAAAATCAAAATACATGGTTAGATTCGTCATATCAAAGAACCCCATATATTCAATTTTTGTTGAAATCAAACAAAGTTTAATTTTGGACCCCAACTTGGACAAACTTGAAAACTGGTCCCATAATCAAAAATCTAAACACATGTTTAGATTTAGCATATCAAAGTACCCCAAGAATTCAATTTTTGTTAAAATCAAACTTAGTTTAATTTTGGACCCTTTGGACCTTAATGTAGACCAATTTAAAAAACGGGACCCAAAATTAAAAATCTAAAAACACGGTTAGATTTGCATATCAAAGAACCCCAATAATTCAGTTTTTGATGAAATCAAACAAAGTTTGTTTTAGACCCTTTTGACCTCAATATGAACCAATTTGATAGCGGGCCCACAAATAAAAAATCTAAATACATGGTAAGATTCAGCATATCAAAGAACCCCATATATTCATTTTTTGTTGAAATCAAACAAAGTTTAATTTTGGACCCCAACTTGGACAAACTTGAAAACTGGTCCCATAATCAAAAATCTAAACACATGTTTAGATTTAGCATATCAAAGTACCCCAAGAATTCAATTTTTGTTAAAATCAAACTTAGTTTAATTTTGGACCCTTTGGACCTTAATGTAGACCAATTTAAAAAACGGGACCCAAAATTAAAAATCTAAAAACACGGTTAGATTTGCATATCAAAGAACCCCAATAATTCAGTTTTTGATGAAATCAAACAAAGTTTGATTTTAGACCCTTTTGACCTCAATATGAACCAATTTGATAGCGGGCCCACAAATAAAAAATCTAAATACATGGTAAGATTCAGCATATCAAATAACCCCATATATTCATTTTTTGTTGAAATCAAACAAAGTTTAATTTTGGACCCCAATTTGGACCAACTTGAAAACTGGGCCAAAAATCTAAAATCTAAATACATGTTTAGATTCAGCATATCAAAGAACCCCATATATTCAATTTTTGTTGAAATCAAACAAAGTTTAATTTTGGACCCCAACTTGGACCAACTTGAAAACTGGGCCCATAATCAAAAATCTAAACACATGTATTGATTCAGCATATCAAAGAACCCCAAAAATTCAATTTTTGTTAAAATCAAACTAAGTTTAATTTTGGACCCTTTGGACCTTAATGTACACCAATTTAAAAAAAGGGGACCCAAAATTAAAAATCTAAATACACGGTTAGATTTGGCATATCAAAGAACCCAAATAATTCAATTTTTGATGAAATCAAACAAAGTTTAATTTTGGACCCTTTTGACCTCAATATGAACCAATTTGATAGCGGGTCCACAAATAAAAAATCTAAATACATGGTAAGATTCAGCATATCAAAGAACCCCATATATTCAATTTTTGTTGAAATCAAACAAAGTTTAATTTTGGACCCCAATTTGGACCAACTTGAAAACTGGGCCAAAAATCAAAAATCTAAATACATGTTTATATTCAGCATATGAAAGAACCCCATATATTCAATTTTTGTTAAAATCAAACAAAGTTTAATTTTGGACCCTTTGGACCTTAATGTAGACCATTTTGAAAACGACCCAAAATTAAAAATCTAAATACACGGTTAGATTCGGCATAACAAATAAATAAATGTGGTCAAAGATTTTACAAATCTAATGCGCCATACTGGTCTTCCTTTATAAATATGCATTTCTTTAAACATAATTTAAAAGCAGTGTAAGGGAAGTAACCAAAACGTTGTATTTGGATTACCTCCCTTACACTGTTTTAAATTATCTTAATTGTTCATTAACCATTACTTTATAGATAATTTAAAAGCAGTGTAAGGGAGATAATTTCAATAATGTATTTGATTTATCTCCCTTACACTGCTTTAAATTATGTTTTGTACTAAAGTATTTGTCCATTAATGAGGACAACCTTGTTTTTCCCCCTTTTTTGCCCCTAATTCTTAAACGGTTTGAGCAATAACCCCCCAAAGCAAATCCTAACCATTCCTTTGTGGTATGGAAACTTGTAGTATAATTTCAGAAAGATCCATACACCGTTCCACAGTTATTGTCTGGAAACTAGAAAATGCTTATTTTTGGCCCCTTATTCCTTAACTGTTGGTACCATAACCCCCAAAATCAATCCCCACCTTCCTTTTGTGGTATTGAACCTTATGGTAAAATTTCATAGAGATCCATTCACTTAAACTAAAGTTAGAGTGCGAAAACTAATGTGTCTTCGGACGACGACTACGACGACGACGACGACGCCAACGTCATACCAATATACGACCACAAAAATTTTTTTGCGGTCGTATAAAAACTGATTGTGACTTTCTTTCCTACATTCATACGAGAGTGCCATGTAATTTGGTATACTCTGTGCACAAGAATAAAGATTGGACAATGTTTTGCATGTAGATAAGAGTCGTAGGAAATATAGGCATCACAATATTTTTTTTTCAAATATTTTTGAAACACAATATTAGTTATTCAGTGTGCTGGAAGTGACTTATTTGATATATATGGGGTAAGTCAATTTCATATGGGGTGAAAGTTGACCTATTACTTAAGTTCCTTAGAAATGGACTCATATTGCATGTCTTGAAAAATTTAACATTAATCGTTTGATCCTATCTGATGAGATGTTGGGTAGATTTTTCATTGGCAATTACATCACAGCCTGTTTTATATTTGTTTACCTGTGATTCTTTCATTGATATATGAACCTTTATTCATAAAGTGAGATAAATCTCCCCTTTATCATGCATTTTCGATTTTCAACCGAAAGCCAGACAATGAAATTCAAAAGGCATATCATCAGAAATATAATTTATTTCATTATTTGAAAGAAATATATATATTATATCTACATACAAATAATTTTATAACTTTTTTAATCAATTAATAAGTTATTGCAAACAGAGCACAAATAGCTATATTTCTATCAATCTCATTAGCATAATCATTCAACATGCAAATACAAAAGTAGTTTCTACATCCCTGAGGAAAACAAAATTGAAGTTGGAAAATTGATTTTTTTTAATAAAATATATAGAGGGAAGTTATCTGGACCTATAGGTGCCTAACTAATGAATAAAAATAATCACCTAATTGTTGAAATATATTAAATTCAGGTAGGTATTTAGTTTATAGGACTCATATCAATAAAATAAAGAATAAAAAACAACAAATAACCATAAAAAAAGATTATGGAACTGTGTCTTGAAATGATTAGTGTTAATTATGCAAAGGGGTCATTCATGTATATTTGAAATATGAAGCATTATACATAAAACTTATAGTAAAGTGAGATAAACATACTTTTGACACACATCTGCAGCCTTTCGTACAGCATATACAGTATTCTTATTGAGATTTTGTTAAATTCTTTTAATGATAATGTCAAATTACATACTACATTAAAAAACAAGAATGTGTTCATAGTACACAGATGCCCCACTTGCACTATCATTTTCTATAATCAGTGGACCATAAAATTAATGTCAAAACTCTATTTGATATTAAAACTAGAAAGATCATATACTAAGTTTCAATTGATTGGACATCAATTTCATCAAAAACTACCTGGACAAAAAACATCAACCTAAGCTCGACAAACAAATGAACAAACAGACAAACAGACGCATAGACCGTTTCACATAATGCCCTAGGTAGGGCCAAAAAACTAAACTGAAACAGCCAAGTTTATAACATTAGCTAAACATATTATTTTTACTAATTACAATTTTTTTATTGACATAATTACATGTACAATATAATATATATAAAGTATAGAAAACAATTGAACATAGATCAACATAATCAATTTCAATCCTTCAATGATACTGATGCACTGACAAAATAGAGCCGGTTGCTTTCCTTTCCAACGACCTGGGGAGCACTGACATCCTGCAATAAAAGAGGTCTCTGCGAAATAAACTGCTCACTCGTACTCCAAAATCCATTTTTAAACTTGACATCATCATAAATATCCACCAAAAGCCATGTGTAGCTTTTTCCATGCCAAGAGTGTTCAAATATTTTAGAAATGTTACCAAACAGTATATCTGACAGTGAATTGACACAATTTTGATTTGCGACAAAATCATCTCCTATTTTCACTGCATACACAAATGTGTCTGATGATCTCTGCTTTGTAACAGAAGAGTACTTCATCTCTCTTCCTGTATTCCCATATAACTTGGTACAACAACTAACTTCCTTGCCTTTATTTGTCATTCGTTGTAGTAGACAAAAATCGTATATCTCGGACATATGTGACAGAACAGTATCCGGAATGAAAAACTTTTTCCCAATTGAAGTTTTCATCTCATCTATTCCCTCGTCCAGCAGGAGTTTTTCTAGTTTTCCAATATTGATGTCATCTTGCTTTATCTTCCCTGACATTATCATAAAAACACACCAATCATATATCTGAAAATTGAAATACAAACATCAATATGCGGTATTGGCTTTGCTCATTGTTGAAGGACGTATGGTGACCTAAGGTTGTTAATTTCTGTGTCATACGGTCTCTTGTGGAGAGTTGTCTCATTGGCAATCATACCACATCTTCTTTTTTATATCAATAGTTTATAATAATAAACTGGGAATGTGTCCCCATGGACACAGATGATGCCCCCTCTTGCATATCATATACGGTTAAAAAGGGATATAACTGAAGAACAGAAAAAGTGACACTATCTAGATTTGTACGTACTTGATATGAGTTTTGTGGTAATATGTATTGTGAATAAGGTTCATAACATTTGGTTGGGACAAACTTAAAGATAGAGAACAAAAACAGTGAAAAAAAACAAAAAAGTCAGCAAATTTTCAATTTGTAAAGGGGCAAAACTCTAGAACAGTAAAAGTGAAGCCACCAAACTTTTGACACTACAGGGGTTCAAATTAGTAGTCGTCAGAGGTCCATGACCTTCCCATTGGTAGTTAGTTACAACCCACAGACTTTCTTACTTTTGCAGGTTAAAAAAATTACAAAAGCATTTTGAACAAAACAAGGTTGGCAAAAAAGCGGTCAATACTAGTATTGTCCATGCCGGCGGTAAATACTGGCAAATACTGGTCAATTGAAATTTTGATAGGACTTTACTATAAAAACTAGTCCTACTTCAGGTCAATTACTTGGTGAATGGATAGATATATATAGTCACAAGGCAGAAAGTCACTTATTTACTAAATTGTACTAGGATACTAGGACAAAAAGTCACAATTTATTAGTTCATGAACATGGTTTAATGAAGATTAATCAAATATTGATTTAATCATACAACATATATAGTCATTAACACCATGAAGTCAGTCACTTAAAAGAGACTATATAACATCTGGTTTTCTTAACAGTTATTTTGAAAGATGCAATTAAAAAAAATACAAAAATTGTTTTATATATATATATATATATATATATATATATATATATATATGTTATATATTTATCAAAAAAGAAAACATTTCCTGAATTTAGAAGATTTTTATCATGCTGTTGAATAGTCAGGAATTAATTCATTGTTTAAAACAATGTTCAGAAATCACTTTTATGACCTTTTTCCTGTTATGTCAACATTTATTAGGTTGTTATAGTAATTAAACTTTTCACACCTGTTAGCCATAAAATAGGTAATGCTCTGATAATCTATATTGCTAGTCACTTGTAATTCTATTTACCTGTAAAATTCAAACCTTTTCAAGAAAAAAATATCTTGATTTATACAAAATAACTGATATAGCAATTTTATATGTATACCAAAAGTATGCAATATCATTACCCCTAAGAACTAAATTAATCATTTTTAATGTTTTAATAGTTAATAACATACCAATATCATTCATTTTTATAAGCTGAATCATGCCAAAGGAATAAAGTTTTCCCTCATCAACCAATTTTTTACTAGTATTGATAGATAATTAAGTCAGTCAAAAGAAGCATGAAAATTTCAATTGACCAGTATTTGCCAGTATTGACCACTTGGGGAGTATTGTCCGGGGCGGTAAATACCGGTAAATACCACTGGTAAATACCAGGGGGGGGGGGGGTAAATACCGCCCAACCTTGGAACAAAAATATATATCAAAATCATCTTTAAAAGTAACTATACTGAAAGGGAACTTATGATGTTGCTTAGATCAGATGTGTAGTCATGTGATGGGTTGTCATACAAGATACTAGGAAACTGGAGAATATAATATTATAACATAACTAGTAAGCAGTATGAGTCTGTTTGTTTTTTTACTAATTGAATTCTCAACATGCTCAATAAAAACTGAACCTTCAAAAAATATAGGAGGGCCTTTAAGTACTTTTGGTCAAAGGTCCTGGACCTTCCTTTGCCTGAAGTAAATTTGAACCCCTGGACTATGTTGTCTAAGATACAAATACATACAGCATAAGTTTCCATGATGGTTGCTTCTATTTTGTTCTTGTTCAATGCTTGGCGTGTGATCCAACTATTTATCCTTTCAAAAGGAAATAACCACCTCCCGTACAAAGGTCCAAAATCAGCATATCCTTCTGGAATGTGGTGCATTAAATGAGTAGTAATTGTCTGAAAAGTAAGAAAATATTGTTTCTTTACCATGTGTTAGAAATATTATGTTCATGATTTGACAAATTAACACATGCAATAAAACTTTAGTCAAAAAACAATTGTGCACTATACATGCTATAACAGGAATAATAAATAATAGTAATTATATATAAAGGAAGATAATGTAAGTCATGAAGTTTTCATTTGTATAATACAAATAATAAAAGTCAGAAATGTTTTTACTTGGATTTACAAAATATTTTTTAAGTGTCTGCATTAAAGTTGTAGTAAAACAAAAAAAAAACTGTAAAGAATAATACTGTTGAAAATATATAATTTGTTTTATTCTATAGACCTCTTATAAGTCATGTAAGCGGTTCCATTTTACCTGGGAACAGTATATCTAACAATATGTAATAATATATATGTTCCTGATTTTACTGACCTAACATAATTTTTAGCATGCAAAATACGCAAAATTTCCAAGTCAATAGACCATGACTGTAATTTTGGCAACATTATTTACCTGTAAGGCAATAGGGAAATCTCTCTCCAACAAAGACATAGCTTCACTTGTGAACTGTATAATATCATCTAATTCATCACTGTCAAAGCTTTCGTGGGTCATCATATCAATAGCTGAAAACAGCTTTCTAAGTGTATTTTCCTGTCTCTTTGGCAGTAGTCCTCGCAAGCACCATAATGCAGCACCACTTTTGACAAACTAAAAGAAAATTTTTCATTTTAAAATCACCATACTAAAGTATCTGTCTAACATTGTCTATGATATCTTAGCAGGAAACAATTTCAAGAAATCTTACAAGACTATAATATTTGTATAGAAGGCACATAAAATGAGCAAAACATGCTTACATTTGTCTTAAAATCATTAAATTTTCCTTTGATTGATAACAAATGATCATAGGACAATGTAGGATAAATGCTTATCAACAGAAAAAATATGCAGGACTTTCTTACTAACCAATAAGCTTTAACATGTTTAGACTATGTTAATTAAAAAAAAATCTGGAAGGCCAAGGATCATGTGGAAATTCATTAAACTTTTTTTCGAAATGGGACAATGGTGTTTATTTTCATTCATTTTTATTTTGTTTAATTGTTAGTCAACATGTTTTAACAAACATTTTTTTAATCAACTGCCTTGATCATGTTGATAGTTATGTTATGTATACAGCTTTATTTTATAAAACTGAATGACAGATCATTCAAGAAATGTGAAAAAGAAGCTATCAACATTAACCATGTTAATATTTGATTTTTTTCTGAGTCACAAATTTCCTTAAAACAGCTGTCATATTCACGATTGTGAACATTGGGATGTATCAGGCAATTGATTTATATTAGTGGCAACACTAACTTTGCTTTTGACACGAGTTCAGTTAATTTTTCACTTTACGACAGAAATAAAATGACTTAGGGCGCTCAAAAGAAGGGTCGGTCAGGTAACCGTTAACAGACATATTTTTTTTTGGCCTTACGTGGTGTTAAATCAATGCTATCACCAGTGATTGCTTAAATCTGAGTTTAAGTAGAGAACTTGTATCAGGCTATTTTTTTTTTAATCTGTTGGTTTATGAGCTGCCCACCCATTTCGCTAATCTTTAGGAAATCACAAATAATTTTGTTATCTTTTTATCATGTGTGTCTCTTAAAATGCAAAATGCACAAATTAAACCCATCTCATTGCATCATTTTATCGATATCTATGACAATGACATGCTTTGTATCCCCTTTTAAGTTTAAAACCAATGAAACAAATGTTTGCCAATTAAATTCAAGGAATGATGACAAAAAAAGAGAAGATAAGTATTGTTTTAAATCTAGTTTACAATGTGACAGTAGAATAATTCTATTCATATTTAGCATGTTTATGTCTTGCAAAATTCTTTTATTTCTTTTTCTAACTTATCGTATAATAGACCAGAATTTTTTGCATAAAATACTGTAAACCAACAAATTAAAAAACCAATATCCTCAGTAAACATGGCAATGCTGTTGAAATAAAGGAAACAATATTTACCTGATGTTTTCCATGCATTGTCCTCAATGTCCAAGGCTTCGAAAAATGATTTTCTGCCAGGTAATCGTATCCTGTTGGGTAAACAAGGTTTTTAGCTCTTGTATCTGCCACCTTCAAACCAGGCTTGTCCACCTTCCATGGTGCCTTTGGTAACTCTTCACTTATCTCTGTTTGCAGTTTTTGCTTTTTCTGACAATGCTTTTTTTGGCATTGCTTTGGTTGTCATTTTTTCTTACAATAAGGGCATCCACGTAAGGCTGCCTGGCTGGACACATGCAACACTTTGCTAAATGCAGGAACATCACAAAGATATTGTAACAGGGCAACTTTTACAGTTGTTGGAGCTCCTTTGTAAGCATCATACATGGTGCATGTTGACAATTCCAACAGTTTATCAACTAGGACATCTAAATAAGGATCCAAGTTCTTTGGTTCCTCAGTTTTTGTTCCAGGCACAATTCCAACAAGCATCATTGGTCCTAGGATGTACCTTACTGGAATAGGTAAATTAAGCCACGTTAACATCAATGGCCACATTGACTTCTGTGTTGTCATACTTTTATGTGGATTGAGACCATCACAAAATAATGCTAACGGCACAGTGCAACGTTCTTCTGTATCTTCAAATACACCTCCTCTCTGAAACCATGACTTATAAAGATTGCCATCAGCTATATCAGAGAGCTTCCCATTACTCAAATCTGGTCTTGAAAACATCAGTTTGCAAATATTGTCATCACCGTATATCCTGACTAACCGTGGTCCAAGAGGCATATATGTGTAGGTTTTTCTAGCAGAAGGTGAATGGTCGCTATATCTTGCTTCACCACATTTACCACATTCAACATCCATAGAATAGTCAGATGCATTTGTTTTCCGGAATAGCTGACAATCATTGATACGAGCATCATATGTTGTAGTTTTAATCAGCAATGGTTTTAACAGTTTATAGGCATCTTTGTAGGACCTGGAAGACAGTTAGGCTGTGGCAACACTTTTTTTTCATTTCTTAGGCACATGTCTAGAGCTTTCTTAGACATAACATTATTGCTGCTAAAGTTCACAAAATGTCGAAATAATGAATCTAGTAAAGTTGTTTTGCTTTCTCTGTACAATGGTTGATTAAGTTTTTCACCCTTATACAATTCTTTGTCAAGACTGCTAATAAACTGTGGCTGAAGATATGGTGATTCCTTTATCTTACTGTCAATGAACTTATTGAAGAATAACTTCTGATGTCTTCTCTGTGTAGACTGACTTTTACTGACATCTGACAGAATTAATAAAGAAATCATGAAATCATGTTAAAGAACCAATTGTTGTTTATTTTCATGACAAAGCATTTTAATGTATGAGGTCCAGATTATTTATTTTTTTGGGGTGGGTGTCTGTTCATTTCTTTCATTTATCTATTTTTCTTTATCCATTTGGCTAATATTCAATACTCCTTTAATATTTTTGCACGACATCATGCTCTATTCAATATTTTAGGGCCTAGTTTTCTATATAAATCTTTATTTTTTTGTTATAGTTTGTACACTTCTTGTCCAGTCAAGCCAGTATTCTCTATTCTGTAAACCCAATGCATTTAGACCTATACTTGCCATAAGTGAATCATAATTTTAAAGTCTTTAATATTTAGGATTACTACAAATATGAAGTTAATTTTTTTTCAGTAGTTTCTGAGAAATTTGTGCACCCATTCGGGCCAATTAAATTTTTTTTTCAACATGATCAAATAAACAGCTGCTACATGATTGATGAAACACCCTTTTTTTTCTTCATAGAACAAAGTTCAATACCTTCTCAATGTCATATCAGAAATTTATAAAAAAAAATGTGGATAGTGTCCACATGTGGACACAGATGATCCCCCGGCTTGCATACAATAGAGTTTAAGGGACATAACTGAAGAACGGTAAAAGTGACGCTACCCAAATTTGAACTTGATCTGAGTTTTGTGGTAATAAGCATTGTGTGTAAGTCTCATAACATTTTGTTGAGGCTAACTTAAGTAGAGAACAGAAACTAAAAATTCAGCAATTTTTCTATTTGTAAACACGCATAACTCTAGAACGGTTGTGTACAAGTTTTATAACATTTGGTTGAGACAAACTAAAGTTTAAGAGAACAGAAACGAAAAATTCAGCAATTTTTATGTTTATAAAGGGACAAAACTCAAGATTGGTAAAAGTGATGCCACCAAATTCCGTACAGAATCTGTATTATGGGCAAACTTAAGTTACAGAATGGAAACTTAAAATTTTGCAATCTTGAGATTTATAAAGGGCATAACTCAATAATGGTTAAAGTGACACTACCCAAATTCAACTTGATCTGTGTTTTATCAGTGGAAGTCAAAATTAAACATTGCATACCAATTATCATTGACCTTCCACTTACGGATCCCCTCAAACTGACCTAATCACAAACTAATACATGAAAACTTAAGCAAAAGTTTCAAAGTCAATAGACCATAACTGAGGATAATAATTTATAAAAATTCGTAAGGGTTCCGCGGAACCCAGTGTCTCGCCTACTTTTGCTGTTAATCGCAGGCTCAACAAAAATGAGGAAAAAAAATAATAAAAATATTCCACTCTATACTATCTTTTGATTGTAAGTAGCTTCTGTCGAAGTTTGGTAAAAATCCAGGATAGTTTATGAATCTAATAAATGTTTTAAAAACTTAAACATGTTAAACTGCAGACTGTGTGTAATGTTAACTGGAAGAAAAACTAAGTCCATTTATAAGTAATATACGGAAAAAATGGAACAAAATTTTAACAAAATTTCCTTCTAGATACTATAGTTTTTAATTATAAACAAGCTTCTGTCCAAGTTTGGTACAAATCTAGGATAGTTTAAGAAAGTTGTTAAAATTTTAAAAACTTTAACCACAGAGTGAATGTAATGTTACCTGGCAGAAAAACTAAGTCCATTTATAAGTAAAATACGGAAAAAATAGAATTTTTTTTTTACAAAATTTACTTCTGGATACTATCTTATGATCTTAAACAAGCTTCTTTCCAGGTTTGGTAGAAATCCAGGATAGTTTAAGAAAGTTATTAAAATTTCAAAAACTTTAACCACAGAGTGAATATTTGTGGACGCCGCCGACGACGCCGACGGAATGTAGGATCGCTATGTCTCGCTTTTTCGACAAAAGTCGAAGGCTCGACAAAAATCAAAAGGGAGCTTACATCAATAGATATAAACAATTCACCAAGATTTTATGAGAACTGCTGAAAGTATTTTTGAGTTATTGTCCGAAAACTGGAAAATCCCCTGTTTTTAATGAATAAAACCCCATAACTCGAAAATGTAAAATCTAAAATTTATAAAAAATTGTAAGGGAGCTTATGTCAATAGATAAAAACAATTCAGCGAAGTTTCTTGCAAATTAGAGAAAGCATTTTTTAGTTATTGTTCGAAAACTGGAACCCCCCCCCCTTTTTATAATGAATAAATCCCCATTTCTCGGAAACATAAAATCTGAAATTTATGAAAAACGAAAGTCAATAGATATATACATGCAATTCACCAAAGCTTTATGCAAATTGGGTAAATTGTTTTTGAGTTAATGTCCAACATGTTGACGACGGGCGGACGGACAGACGGTCAACGGTATACCATAATATGTCCTGTAAACGGGCGTATAAAAACTATAAGAGATAGGTTGACTAGCAGCATATCATTTGTCTAACAGATTGAAGTCAAGACCAGGGAAAAACTATATGCCTTCTGACTTTCCCTCTGATTTTCATTATATGATTACTTCAAGGATTTCCTTGGTAGATACAGTTAAGCATTGTGATAATATTATCAAATGTTGCATGTATAAAAGAACAATAGCAGTAATATATCATATTTTTTCAGAGAGCTGTCAGAAGTTTGAGCATTTTTTCAGAAAACAGACATGCAACAATTGGAATTCTGCGAGAAATGTTTCCAGAAATCAGCTCATCCCCAAGAACTAACAGAAAACTACATAGTGCTATCAGAAGAGCAAATGATAATAAGCAATATTATAGAAATCTGAAGTAAGTGGTTACTGTCACAATTTTTTGTTATATAACTAATTAGGTGTAATTGACAGATCTTTGTTAATCTGCAACTTATCTTCAAGCATGATGAAAAAAAGTGTTGAAAACTGATTATTTAAGTGAAATTTCTAAGTCCAAGGACCATTGCTCTGCACAAAATCATTAGGCCACAAAATTCAAACTTGAACTGTATAAACTTGTCTTGATAAAAATATATACCAATTATTAAATCAAAAACTATATACCAATTATTAAATCAAAAACTATATACCAATTATTAAATCAATGTCTTCAAGAATGACAAAAGAAAAACCCTGCGGAAAACTGATTATTTTAGTGAATTTCTAAGTCCATGCACCATAACTCTGCACAAAATCATCAGACCATAAAAAAATTCTAACTTGATCATGATAAAACAATACACCAAATATCAAATCAATATCTTCAATCATGATAAAACAATACACCAAATATCAAATCAATATCTCCAATCATGATAAAACAATACACCAAATATCAAATCAATATCTCCAATCATGATAAAACAATACACCAAATATCAAATCAATATCTCCAATCATGATAAAACAATACACCAAATATCAAATCAATATCTTCAATCATGATAAAACAATACACCAAATATCAAATCAGTATCTCCAATCATGAAGAAAAAAGTGTGGGAATCTGATTTGTCGGACTGACAGATGGACAGACAGATGGAGTGCAAATCTAAAGTCCCCTTTGACTTCGTGGGTAGGGAACTAAAAACAAATACATGTATATTCATGTTAGTTTCTATACTCTAGAATGATGCCTTTTCAATGCACATGAAATGCATTATTTTTTCAAAACACAAACCAATTATAGTTCACAAATCGCTAACAATATTTTACTCTTTTTTCAGAGCAACAGCACAGCAGCAAGGAAAGACAGTTAGAGAAATGCTGAATAGAAACAGAAGGTATAAAAATCTGATGTTTGGCACAATAATTTATACTTCTGACTATTGTCACGAGACATCATGGACATAAAATTAGTTAACTTGTTCATGGGTCACCAAGGTTATTTTAATCTTATTTGGTTGTTATAAATTAAAATGTGTCTTTGTATGCTGAAGACAACATGATAGGATTATACGAATGCAAACAAATTTTTGCGGTTGAATATAAAAGTGGTATGCCACTTTTTTTTGTTGAAACCGAATTACCAATAAAATGCTTCGCTGAGCGCAGCCTGATACGACTGCAGAGGTCCAACCCTGAACAGATGTGGCAAATTTGGACACAATATTCAAGCTTGATACTATCTAAATTTGGT